TAACCAAGCATTATGTTGCAACATACCAAACACCCATAGATGCTTCTCTCATGGGAACTGCTTCTTCCACTGACAGAAAGAAAAGCAAAGTTCCAAGGAGAAGGAGCTTTGGACTTTGCTGTCTCTGGGCAGTGGTGTGGCCCAATTCTGATGCCTGGACACTAAGTAAAGACAAGTTTTGTGAGACTGGGGTAGATCTGAAACTGGCAAGACCAGTGTGGTTGGCATAGCTACATTTGGTGCTAAGTAGATCTGTTTTTGTGATACCAAAATTAACTGAAAAGGTGATTGGAAATGAATCTAAAGCAATCAAATTAGAATAATTGAATTAGAAAAATTGAGACAAAAATCATGTTTTAAAGGAAAGATATATGTAAAATTGGATAATCATTGTGCAAGTAGAAAATCTCAATCCTTTTAAAACAACTCGATATATTTTCACCCACTTTTTTCTTCCCTTGCTCAAAGTTAACCAATGAAAAACACAGCAGAAGATGGTAAGACCCTGGACATGGAAGGGAAAATTCCAAAGAGAAATTTTGTAACTTAAACACATGCAAAGCTCTTGAAGAAGAGTCTGGCGGGATGTGGATGACATCAAGCTTTGGCCAGCTAGTTGTCAGTCCCCAAGCGGTCTGGTATGTGATGGCACAGGTCACATAGATGATGACACATCTTGCCTGCTGAAAGTATCCAGGTTGTTGGGAAAGAAGATACTCTGGAATGAGCCACCCAATATAGGGGGAAAGTGAGATTGTAGAGTCTCCACATTGTCTTCTTGTCTTCTGTCTTGTCCTTCACATTGTCTACCTCCTCAGACCTACAACAATTTGCTTGTGCTGCAGAGCTGGGCATTCATTTTTCGGATTATAGCCCATCTATGCCTTGCATAGCCTGCCTGCCGTGGCCGTCAAGCCACCTCTGATCACCAACTCCCTTTAGTGTGGGCCTCAGATTTGACACTTGAGCTCCTTAGAGATGCCATGTCGTCTTCTGCCTCCATCACTGGCTGGCTGTGTGAACTTGGATGAAGTGTTTGATTGGTCTGTTCCTTAATGCTCACCTGTGAAATGAGAATGTAGTACCAGCCTCCTAAGCTTATACAGGGATAAATGAGTTAATACATGTAAAGCTCTTCAAAGAATGCTTGGCGTATCACAAGGGCTGTAATAAAGGCTAGCATTTTATTGCTGTTGCTCTTGTTTCAAGCTAGGGTATATTACTTTTTTATTGCTGCATAAAAAGTTACTATAAACTTAGTGTCTTAAATCAACACCCATTTATTTATTATGTTAGTTTCTGTAGATCAGGAGTATGGACATGGCATGACTGGGTACTTTGCTTAGGATCTCATAGGACTGAAATCAAGGCATTGGAGGGATCCTGTCTAGCTTCTTCCAGGACTCCTCCGATTAGAACAAACCCAATCTTTTTTATTTTTAATTCACTAAGAACGACTGGTTAGTAACATAATCATAGAATGATAGCCCATCACATTCATATTCTTCTTGCATGCGAAAGACTCCCTTTGGTGCAGGGGATTCTACAAGGTGTGTACAACAGGGTGGGTATGCTTAAGTGTCATCTTGAAATCCTGCCTACACACTGAGTAATAGGGAAATGCTATCTTGTCTGTTCACTTTGTAGAATTGTACTTGAGTGAATATAGGATTTAGTAACCAGATTTTTGTAGCATCTTGCTTAGAGTGCTCAGATAGATTCACATTAATCTGGATCCTGGAACCAGCCTTTATTATTCTTCTATAGTTTTCGCTAGCTGATAGGGCTAATTAGCATTTCAGAAGTCTTAGGAAGAGAACAATTAGAGACTTGTAACTGGTGAACCAGCTGCTAATACCCTGGAGTTTCAAAAGGATGGCCTACAATTTACAATCCCTTCCCAAGCCATGTGGCTAGTAAGTCCTGACTGATGAAGACCAGAGCCTCCTCCTTCAGTGTCAGTTAGTTGTGCCTGTTACTCTGCCACTGCAAAGTGAATTTGTACCTGCTAGAGAATGTTTTCACTTTGAGGATGATCTTTTACATTATTTTCAGAAGGTTTTCTTTTCCCTTCCCAATTAAGTCCAGATATTTTCCTCATTTAATTCAAATTAGAGTACACACAAAGGTATTATCAACCAAAACTCACTGACAGAAGATGTATTTTAGAAAATCAATGAAAAAGATAAACTTAATGAAGATGAAACTTAAATAGTAAAACCTGTTTTTTAGTATCAATTTTGAACCACATTCTAGACAAAATGACATGTATAAAACTTTGAAGCAATAGGGGAAACCCATTGAGAACTATTCCCCCAAAAGATGCTAAGATTTGCTCTATGATATTTTACTTGAGCTTTTATATATATTTGTCGAGGTACAGCGGGAAAAAAGAATTTGGCGTGATGGAGGGTTTAGGAGTTTGAGGTATCTGCATATCCAGCATGTCCTAACAAAGTATGATTTTACCATCTATCCAATATGCTATTTAGACCTGGCTCTCATTGCCTTAATCACTAACATCCTTCCAGTAATTTGGACTATTAAGGAGGAGGTACTTGTTCATAAAGATAACATAAAGTAATGTAGACTTGGATTTCTTTTCCTCCTTCCAGGACAATATCATCTTATTCTTGAGAGGTTGTAAAGAGCTCGGCCTTAAAGAATCTCAACTTTTTGACCCCAGTGACCTACAGGATACGTCCAACAGAGTAACAGTCAAGTAAGTAATCCATGATTTATGTTTAAGGGAAACCCATTTATGGTTTGAGTTGCAGTTTTTTGATGATGTTGTAGGAGTGCCTAATACAATTAAAATGTGAAGGCAAAAATCAAGCTTTTGAAGCAAAACATGTTGGTCTTCCTTCCATGTACAGCTTTCATTCTGATAGAATGAAAATTTTTGCAATGCAAAAACCATGCCTATCGAGTTAGAATTTTAAAGAGACATAGAAAACTGTTAAGTGAAATTCAAGAGGGAGAGACAAGAGAGGAATTTGTACACAGTGTGTGTGTGTGTGTGTGTGTGTGTCTTAGAAAAAAGCTCTTATTGGCTCCAATTGGGCATTTGAATAGGTTCTTGGAAGACTGCAAACTAGGTAAACAGATCTGAACTCTGTTTATTATGCAGGAAGGGCAATAGATTATAGTGAAATCTCTTCTTCATTTACATTTGTAACTGTTTTCAGTAATCAGGCTCTTTGAAGGTGGACCATTAGTCATTTGGCTATTGTCAGCTGTGAGCCATGTTTGGGGCTAAAGAATTCTTGGGAAAAAGCATCATGTAAAAGGAAGGCAGTGTGCTTTTCCCTAAAGAAAGAGTTTGTGACCAGGGTGATGAGAAGAAAGGTCTTTATGGGAATAGAGATAATTTTCCTGTAGTTTGGAAGTCCTTTAGATCTACAAACTTCATTTAAAACATTTTCTACTGTAGTCAAACAGTATTTGGCATGAATATGCCTTAGTAATAAGCTGAACTAGGTGGAGGGAGTCTGTGAACAGGCTATACTTCTTTTGATCATATTTGGGTCATTTTATCTTGAAAGGACAGAAAAGAGGGAGAAGACAAAATTCAGACAAAAATCACCATTCGGTGATACTGATTTTTTTTTAATGATGAGGAAAAATAATTGGGAAAAATGGAAACTACTGAAAAAAATCAACTTAGGAGTTCATATTGGATTTTATGTTTCATGACTGGGAATGAGGGAGAGTCAACCATGATTGATGACCTAAAATCAGTTCTTTATTGTCAATGGGTCATTCTTTATTTCTCATGCAAATAAGGGCAAAAATAAAAGAAAAAAATGTTGATGTTTGAACATGGAAACCACTGAAGATCTCGTTCAAGTCATCACAGGCTCCATTAATTAGTATACCTAAAACTAGCCTCTATAAATCATTGTTTATTTTAGGAAATTATTTCACTGTGGTGACCACACCTGAAGGGAGAAATCTTATATTGTGTAAAAACAAACAAGGGTATAAAATAATGATATATCATTATTTAAAAAATGAAAGAAATTCAGTTCTTGTCTCATCTCACATTCACAGTTCCACCTGGGTGGCAAGTGACCAGGAACAATAGGGACTGTCGCACATTCTGGGTAATAATTACTAACACACATGACTTGGAGGGTGAAGGAAAGTTCACTTGACAGTGTTGACAGCTGTATTCTTTTTTTTTAAAGTGACTTCAACTCAATAAGTTACTAAGCCAGGGAGAGTCTCAGGTTGATTTGCTTTAGAAATTCGTATCTCCTATCACCTTCATGGTTTCTCTATGCCAAAATTGGGGCCTGAGGAAGTTGGGGGGTCTACCCATAGATCTGCCACTCCCTAGCTCTACAATCCCAGGCAGTCCTAGCTTCAGTAGGTCTCCAACTGTGTTCATCTACAAAACAGAGTTAGGCAGAATGTTCTCTCACATATAATTCTAGCAAAAGTTCAGCCAACTTCTAAGGAGACTTTAAGTCAAAGGCAGAAAAAGTACATTAAAGGGAAAATGACACCTATCAGACACAATCACTTCTAAATCCCTGTACCACCTTCTGCTTTCCTCTTCTTTTCTCGGTCCCTTCTCTTTATCTTTCTGCTTCTTTTCTCTATTTCTTCTCCCCTGTGCTTCCCTGCTCTTCTTTATATTGTCTTCCCAGCCTCTCCCTTTTGCATTTCTTCTCATTTTCTTCCCTTTTGTCCTTTATCGAGCATTATTATTTTCTTTGGCATTACTTCTCTATCACCTTCCCCCATGATGCTATCATTGTTCATTCATTCAACACATCTTTTTTAATTAATGAAGTACCATTGTTTTACATCTTTGTTAATATTTTGATGATGTTGGATTTCTCCCCATAATTGTGGTCACTGTAGCTCTCCTACCACCAAAGCACCCATAGTCCTCTGCCACAGTCTTTTGTTGGCTTATTTCACTTAGCATAATCCCTTCCAGCTCCATGTTGCTGCAAATGGCACGAGTTTATATTTTCTGATCACTGAGTTATATTTTCTGATTTTATTTTCTGATCACTGAGTATATATACCACATCTTGATCCACTCATCTTTGGGAGAGACACAGGTTGTTTTATGTATCAAGTATATCTCAACAAAAACCTCATGTCCCTAAACTGGCAGCCTCTCAGCTGAGGGCTGAGACATGGGTGGGAAGCAAAAAGCAACCATTTAGAGATCTGCAGGCATTCAGGAAGAGCAGGTGGAAAGACTGGGGAAGAGAAACAAACCTGATGTATAAAAAGAAAAAGGAGCAGATGTGGTAGACTTGCCATGAGCCAGGACAAGTGTGGTGAGGGAGTGTCCACAGCATTGTAGAATGAAGTACTTGGAAATATTACTTCACTGTATGAATACCTAGAAAAACAAAAAACTTATATTAAAATTACATAAATTCATTTAAGGCTCCTGCTTTCTAAAACCACTTCTAATTTTAAGGAGGAATGGAGTATGGAATGAGCTGTTTCACAGTGTCCTTATAGATGCTACTGGTTTAATTTAGCACTGGGTAGGGGACATTTATAACATCTGTAGATTTTATGGCTATGGCCAGTTAAAGTAGAAATGCTGTATTTCTCTACTTTACCCTCTGAGTGTTAGGCAGAACATTAACAGAGTTGGAGAACACCCCACTGACACCAATTAATAGCAGAAGTACTAAGATATAGGGGTAGATCCCACAGAGGAAATTTTGGTGCTTTTTTGAAATTATCTTTTATAAAGTCATTTTTAGTTTAGGCTTTACTATAGTACTGTAGGTAATTTTTCTTACTTTTTTTTTTTTTGGAGAAGTAACTTGAGTAGACTAGAAGGGAGCAAAGGGAAGAAAAACCTGGAAATAATTACAGCATGTATAATTTGTGAACTCTACCTGTAATGGGAGCCACATAACTTTGTTGGGAAATGAAAGCATAACCCAGAGGGTGTGCAGCAAGTGTGATTCCAGGAACACCGAACAACTGGATGAAAGTGAGGAAAGGCTTTGGATGGCACCTGAGTATGTCTCTGAAATATATGGAAGCATTTCCACATTACTGATTGTTATGTGAAGTCATTCAGCAAATATGTTGTGAGCTCCTACTGTGTGCCAAATTTGACTTTTAGAACTGCATCACAGTTTTAATCAATAAACAATAGAAGTCAATGCAGGAGAAGTTTTCGTGTTTCCTGTTCTTATTTTTCATTAAAATTTTAAGTCTTTTGTAGATTTGTTTTTGTTTTCATTTGGGGTTTTTGTTGATGTAAAATATACATATGTATGTATACATATATAAACCTTAGCAAATATTGAAGCAGATAATCACATCATTTTTTATATTAAAAGTGGGAAACACGAAAACGTTTTCTTAATCAAATCCAAACTAGACATAGGCTTCTGTCCATTCAAGTGCCTGTTGATGTCAGTGGGTTTATCTCCTTAGTATATATTTATTACATTGTTTTCTGTTCCCTGAAATCTTAATTGACTTAAAATTCTGCATCTATTCATTAATAGGTACTTTAGATCAGAATGTACAGCTGTGAAATAATTGGGGTCTAATACCAAAAGGAATTCTTGACTGGTTTATGCAGTAGACATATTCTTTCTCTACTCCTCTCCTCTCCTTCTGCCCCCAACTAAAGTTACTATAGGAAATAAAAACACAGTGTTTCTTTTTCCTAGTATTTATTTGTTGACATGTTAAAGAAACTTAGGGATAATTTGGGAGAAATTTTTATTTTTCACAATATGAATGTTTAGAAAGTACTACCAAGTAGCTTTTTTTGTTTATAGTTTGAGAATAAACATTTATGGGGAGATAATTTATAAAAAGAGCTATATATATATATATAATGTACATGTGTACATTTGAACATAACATGCATATTTTCCTGTTTATGGTTAATCCCCAACACTAAATTATGTCCACAGCAGAAAAGAACAAATATTTGGATAGTATTGCCTCTTGCACATATATTTTTCAGGTCTATTTAATTAAGTAAGGTTTCAGGCCTTTGATAAAAGTGCTTCTGTGAAGAAGAGATTTTGGAAGAGCAGTCAGATTTCAATTTGACAGTGGTCTGTAATCAAGGCAAGTTTTGCTTTAACAGTTATAGCTTTGAGGATACAAATATAAACAGTCCCAGTTTTAAATGGAATTCTTCATTTTCCAGATGTTACAAGGCTTTCTTCTTCTCATGGTGTACTGTAGAGCTCTAATCCCACCTTGTCCTTCTATATCTTGCTTGCTAAATAATGTCACTTAGTACCTAAAATCACAAATCATAGTTTGTTTGTTTTTTTAAAGATTTGTTTATTTATTTATACAAGCACTGGGTACAGTCAGAAGCGCGAGAGGGTAAGAGAATTCACCAGAGCCAGAGCGGGGAGCAGAGCAGGCAGACTGATGAAGTACACTGCCGAGGGGAGCAGCGGGCAGTGGGCAGCAGGAGAGGTCTGCGCGCCATGTGGGACCCTCACCCAGCGGCCGGGGATCGAACTGGTGCTGCAGAGGCTGCAGGCAGCTTTGCAACCCAGCGCTCAACTGCTGCACCACCGGGGAGGCCCACAAATCATAATTCTTAAAAACACAATAGTCTTCTGCTTTCATTGTCTTCACTAACTTCAAGTATATGTTAGAGGAGCTTAAGGGAAGATCATGTGAAGAAACTGCTCTCCTAATAAACTTTCTTTTCCTTTCTAGGAGCCTTGATTACACTCGGAAGCTGAGAAATGTAAGTGCTTTAACTTCATTTTCCAAACTTATTCCTTCTGACTTTCATGATTCACATGTAAAATTTAACTCCTAAATTCAATGTCTCTCATATGTCTTACTGGAAAGAGTCGTTCTTAGAAAACAAATATATATATGCCTCTGATAGAATAATTAATGACTGTGAAGAAATAAAAGTGGTAGCTTGGGAGGGTCTCTTTAATTAGATACGTGTTCAGCCCAGAAATAAACAAATGAAAACTTGTACTCTGTGGTTCGGTATTTTAAACACAAGATGATGTTTCTCAGCCCTCACATTAGCTCCTTTACAATTGTAGGCACAGATGGGAGAATCAAATTAAGCAGTGGGGCAAATAATTTTAGGGGCAAATCAGCATAACATGAAATGTTAACTGTTGTGGGCTACCCTCTTTGTCTTTTGTTTTCCTCTTAATCTTTCTAGTGTTTATTAGTACTTACCCAAATCAACTTTTTGAAATTAGTGGCTATTTTCAGAGGACAAGTTTTTTAAGGCCTTTTTTAAATTTAAATTGAGGATTTTAATAAATGGCTGTTGAACATTTATTAAATTTGAACATTGACTGTGACCTGCAACCTGATTATTTAAAATCCAGGATGTTATTAATATGGCTGGCATTCTCATGCTTATCTTCTTTTTCTTCCACTATAAAACCAAGAATACACACATTTTCATCATACAATTTTGAGAAATCTGAAAATCTCTCATTTAAAACACAGCACTGTTCTGTCTTCCCTTCTCCTATTACACTTTCAAGACAGCCTCATTCTTGGCATACATTCATCATTAAATGGTCCTAGTTAATGTCCTAACATTTGGAATTGTCTGTTCTCTGGAATGTATTTGTAAGCCATCAGTTGAAAAAAGACTTTCTGGAAATTTTGAAGGATTCCTCAAGTAACATTTTCCCACAGAGGTAGAAAATTAAATCACATCATAACACAGATACTCATAACCATATTTTGGGCCTGTTGCCATCTGGAATCCTATCACCTTGTCCAAAGCATTTTCTGGCCTAGTAAGCAAAGGGAGATGCAATAAGTACTTCCCAATCTGATTGAAACAATAAGACCAAATATGAAAGTAAAATAAAAGTCTTAGCTTTTCTATAGGCTTCTGGTCTCCATAACTCAGTTTTAAGGAGCTTGTCTGCAGCCAGTCCCTGCTAGATTTATGGGAGCATCAACATTAATAACATTTGCTTTTATGGACAGATGCTTTGTAAAAAGAGAGCCAAATTAATTTAGGACTGTAGCTTCAGACCATTGAATATTCATAGACATTCTTAAACTTCCAAGGTTGTTTAATTGGTAGCAACCTTTTCTAGGCTATTAATTTCCTGCCTCAGATTAATAGAAATCTAACTGTACCTCACAGCATGGTATCTTCAGATGGTATTCTTCATTACATTGCTTGCTGCTGATTTGAAATCAATATATTGTGTTGATCTGGTGCTAGGAACTGCTAATTAACCTTTATGGCATTTTTGGGAATTTGGTATTGCTCTTCACAGAAGCTCTGTGCCCAGAATTGGGAATTATAAGCCTGGAGCCCCTCTTTCAAAAGGAATTGACAATCTATTTCATTGCTCATTGAGTAAAGATTCCAAGGTTTTAGAAAATTTTTGCTTCCCAACTTTCAAACCTTCATTGCATGAAAATAATTTTGGAAAATATATTTTTTCTTCTTTCTTATAGATCAATATCTCACAATTGAACTTTTTCCAAAACCAGCATCTTATTTTAACTACTGAATCATGTTTGTGCTGACTGATAGAGCATTGGGTTCTAATTAAAATGATTTTATATTTAATGGATAACTCATGGGTGGTGGTTTTGGTAAATCAATGTTGCATATTCTTTCTTTCCTGTTTTTCTGTTAGTAGAACATTATTGATTTCTCATTTGAAAGTAATTCTTGAAGGAAAATTCTGTTCTGGGCATGGTTTTGCTTCACAGGTCTTAGTTACCATTTACTGGCTGGGAAAAGCAGCAAATAGCTGTGCATCCTACAGTGGAACAACGCTGAACCTGAAGGAGTTCGAAGGCTTGCTGGCTCAGATGAGAAAGGTAACTTGGCTTTGCTTTTTGTCACATTGATGTTTAGAGAAGTGATGAAAAAGCAACTTGCTTGTTTTTAAGATCATAACAAGTGGGCAGAAGGAGATAAACCGTGGGAAAAGGGACAATGGAATGGTAAAGAATAGAACTGGACTTTTAAAGATTTATTTTATTTATTTATGCATACAAGAGCTAGGATGTAGGCCAGAGGTGTGGCTGGGGGGTGAGAGGATTCACCAGAGACAGAGTGGGGAGCAGAACAGACAGATCTACTGAAATACACTGCTGAGGGGAGCAGCGGGGCGACAGGAGAAGTCTGCTACGCCATGTGAGTTAGCTCCCTGGCCGGGGATTGAACTCATGCTGCAGTGGCTGCCAATATCTTCATAGGGCTGAGACTTAACCCCTTGCGCCACCAGGGAACTTTTAGTGGGGAACTTAATGTAGTATGTTTACATGTTGATTCTCAACAGTGAATACCTGAGACTTACATGAGATAATGTGGCTTCCTTAAAAAAAAAATCACAATTTTGTAAGAATTACCCAAAGATGTCATGCACTCAAGGAAACGGGAAACAACCACTTGTCTTGCCAATGTCTTCACCTCATGTATCCCATGCCTAACTGAACTTATATGCCTTTTGGAGAATGGGAGATCTGATCCATATCCAACTTTCATTCCAAAAGAGCGAATTCAATCTGTTGGTAATGAGCTTTCTATGCCAAACTGCTCAGTGCTTGTTTTCTTGGGAGAATAATGCCTGACTTCAACAATACAGTATTATACATAAATGAAGACTTGCTTTGCACTTTTGTCTGAAAGGTCATTTTCCTTCCCTATCAGAGCCTTCTTGGTGTGGGTGAGGTAACATCAGCCAAGTTCTTGCCTGGGCATCCACCCTGGACAGGCTCTGAAAAATGAGAAGCATTCTTTTCTAAAATGTGCGTTTTATGGTCATTGTACTTGAGTGATCTGGAAATTTGGAAAATGTTTTTTACAATATTCGAAGCTTTGTTTATTTATTTGCTTATGGGGCAGACTGACCTAATGGGGGAATTTGTCAAAGCAACAGTAAGGTGTTCTCTGTATTCCTGCCTATGCATTGCTTTTATAAGATTGAGCAATCTACATTCCCTTATCTAAAGCACAGAGATGCCATACAACCCAGGAGATGCCCTACCCAACCAACCTTAGTGAAGTAGTAAGGCTCATTTTAATCACTAGAAATAATTGAGGCCTGGCTCTTCCGAATTTCTCAACTATGCAAATGAATATATTAATGAGACCTGACTGAGAGACATTTAGTGCTTTACAATTTTTCTTTTAATACTAAAAGAAGAATTTTCTCCAACCTTTAAATCATCTATTCTTCTTTCCTTAAATTAATGCTGATAGTCCTCATATTTCTTTACATTTGGCTAGCTAGTCTGGCTCATGTATTTATAAATAGCAAAGCTTTCATATTGGCTGTAAAGCAAAGAAAGTCCTTTAAGCAAAATTACTTTTAAAATAAAATTAACATACCCACTCTAATACAGCACATTATTTCTTCGTCTTTTATTTTTCCTTTAACTCTCTCTGTAGAGAAAAGCATAAAGGAACTTCTAGTTGGGATTTGTAAAATACAAATATTTCTTGTTTTTCTATTACTTGGAATTTGAATAATTATAGATGGGTATCTTTCTAAAGACTGTTTAAAAGGTCTGTCTTATAGTTCCTCTGCTGGAAGGTTCTCTTGGAATCTGATTTATTCTCATTATTGATAATTCTTACCACTGGTCCAGTTCCTCTGTGTCTGCACAGCTTTTAGTTACTCAATTCTCCTATTTTCCCATGCTATTTAAACTCAACTGCCTTAAAAAGATCTGTGGTTATGAATAGCTGTAAATTTTTTTTTAATGTACTCAATATCACAGGTCACAAGGGAGTCATTTGTATCACTGGAGAGAATATGGCTTAACTAAAATGGCCAGCTGTGGCATTGCCTTGTCACTATATAAAAAAAGAGAGTAATTGACCTGAACTTCACAGATCTGTCCAACACCTGAAAACATTAGCTTATCTTTAATATGTATTATTTCATTTTACCAGTTGGGTTTAGGTTCAGATAGAAAATACAATAAACTGTAACAGTGCCTTAAATAAGATTGAATCCTATTCATATAAATGAGATCTGGATGTGAGCAGTCCAGGCTGGTGGGTGTTCTTTGATTACCAGCATCCCATGCTCCTTCTATCTTTTTGTCCACTATCCATGGCCTGCCCTCTCACCTCCTTGTCCAATATAGCTGTACAAGCTTTAACCATCATGTCTACATTAGAATCAGGAACAAGGAAAGATGATGGGAAAGAAATACTTATGCCCTCCCTTTAAAACACACTTCAGGGGCCTCCCTGGTGGCATAGGGGTTGAGGGCTCAGCACTATTCAGCTAGCACCAGCCACTGCAGCATGAGTTTGATCCCTGGCCAAGGAGCTAACCCACATGGTGCAGCAGACCTCTCCTGTCTCGCCTGCTCTGCTCCTCTCAGCAGTGTATGTCAGTCAGTCTATCTGTTCTGCTCCCCACTGTGTCTCTGGTGAATCCTTTTACCCCTTGTCCTATACCCCAGTTCTTGTAAGCATAAATAAATAAATCTTTAAAAATACATAAATAAAATAAATAAATAAAAATAAACACACTTCAGGAAGGTCATATAACAACTCTTTGCTTACATTCTATTGACCTGAACTTGGTCCCACATCCATACCTCGCTGCACGGAAAGACTTGGGAAAGGTGGACTTTATTTCAGCTAAAAGTGGTATTTTTTTTTTTTACTGGAGAAGAAATGGAGAACAAATATTGAGAGAAACAATATAATCTCTTTCCCATACATATAGGCTGAAATGAATTTGAAATGAATTTTTTTTTCTTTCACAAGGAAGACTATTCAGAATTTTTAGATATTCATTTTTCTGGGGGGAAACATGCATAAAGATTTTCAACTTTAAATGCAATTTGTTAAGTTATATAATAAGAATAACAGTGTAGAGCCCTTAGCTTGCGTGTCCAATACATAGTAGGTATTCACAATAGGTTGCTATTGCTATAAACAAGAAAAGCAAGTGACCATGGCCTTTTGCTGAGCCTAGATATGTTAGGAAAGTTTCCCAAAGAAGGGGACACTTAAGCGGAACAAAAGGGAATTACTAGGAGAATACTGAGATTGAAGGAAAAAAACATGGGGAGTAAAAATCTCAGGGACTGGACCCAGAAAATCAATAGTCTAGGTTCTTCCTCTTCATATTTTTCTCTCATCTCTTCTTGCTCTCCTGAATTCACTCTCCCCTCCTACAGGCAAGAATTCCCTCAGAGCAGGAAACATGGCTAACACTATCCCCAGGATTACCTGCTTGTAGCTCTTTGCTCTGAAAAGGAAAAGAATGCTTTCTCCTGGGCCCAGCAGTAAAATCCTGAGGCCGCACTCTGATCCAGCGCTGGTCTATTCCTGAGCCAGCCATTGTGACAGTAGGCAGAGGCAGAGCGTACCATGGGAGTTAAAGGGTGTTACCTGAACAAAGGAATGAAAAAGATGGAGCATGACAAGCAAACAAATGCAAGGCCTGTGGCTAAAACAGCCACTTCCATCATCTTCTCACCCCTTGACCCGCCTCATTTGTTCATGATATGCATTCCCCTTTGTATTTATGCATAAGCTTTCCTGCTTATTTTTTGTCTTCTCTACTGGAGCATAAAGCCACTGAGGACTGGGGATTTACTGATTTTACAAAATTCTCTGACCCACTGCTATGTTGGTGCCCAGCGGTTAGCAGATGCTCAGTAAGTATCTGTGAGATGATTAACTTCCCTAACCAGAGTATAGCAAATGGAGATGGGTGATTAGGCTAAAAGAGTAGAACCCTAAAACACCGCAGAATAGGATTTAGTCACCATATAAATCACAAAGAAGCAGAAAATGTTGAGTGGTAAAACAGAGGCATCTGGAGTTTCTCAGATACCATAAGTCATCCACCAACCCTAGCTGGTTCTCATTATCTCTGACAAAGGGGGATAAGAAGAGAACAGATGAGTTAAATAATCCCAAAATGTAACAGGAGCTAGTAGTTCTCACTCCATGCATTAGCACACTCGTACTGGAACAACTAGCAATTAGCACAATGGACAGACTTGAGTCTTATCGCCCTGCCTGAGAGTTCTCGGTGGAAGACAGAATACTCCTGCTTCTAGATGCAAGCACAGACAACATAACCAGGCCCCCAGAAACTGTGCTAGCCTTTGTGTCGGTTTATATCTTCTGCTTTCCCCAAAAGCTTAACTTGACATGACTTGAGGAAATCCAATGAAATCATTCATTCAGCTGATGTCCAAATCTTTATTTCTGGCTAAAGAACCAGCCTCTTGCTTCACCATGAGGTTCCAAGACAAGTGACCAGCTTAGCCAAGGATGACCATGGGTGGCATGGTTTTCACTTTCAAGCTGGCTATCCGTTCAACTTCCAGTTCTTGCTTGATGGGAAGTTTTATTCTTGGCTTCTACACAGTGGTGAACTGAACAGCCACTCTGTTTGTCTTTCCCGTAACTAGCTCTAAGAAAGCAACGCACGATCCAAGAAACATGTTGACTTTCTCTTTCTTCCTTTCTGTTAGCCTGTGGTTTGTAAGGTAAGGGTGGGGAAGACAGTTGGGTCTTTGAGGGGAGGGGGCGTTTCTGGGGCTTTTGCAATGCTGCACCAACAGTTCATAAAATTGTGTCATTTCTAGATATGACCAGTAGCCCACTTTCCTGAGTATCTGTCCTCCCTGATGGGAAATTAGGCCCAAGGTATCTAGTTATGGCATATAAATGGATAGAAGAGTATCAGTGTGCATATAAGATTTTGTCCTTAACTGCATTTATATATTTTGTATGGTTTATATATTCTTTACATACAAAAATGAATATACAGTAGTAATTATAACTGTAGTTAACACTTGTAAGTATTTATGCTTCAAGCAGTTCTTTGAATGCTTTCTATATTTTAATATGCTTAATCTTCCCAGCAATCCTGTCAGGTAGATACTACCTCTAGCTCCATTTTACAGATGAGAAAATTGAGAGTTTGCCTAAGTTCCCATAGATGACAAGGAGTAGAGTCAGGATCTAATAAACCCAGTCAGTTGGGCTTCCTACACCATGTTCTTAACCTACCCTAAACTGCCCCTCTTTTGCAATTTTTATTTTTGATGATTTCATTATAAATAGCATTTAGCAAAGGGACATTATCCAGATTAGTATCACTCATGACACAGTGAGTGTCTAGTAGTTGGAAGAAATGATGCTGATGGTGGCTACCATAACTGCACCAAAGTTGTCAGGTTTCACAATTTGGGATTTGGAGACAGTCACGCCTTTGTGCTTGCTGTGTGACCCCAATCATGTTACATAACCTCTCTGATTGTTCACTTTTCTGTGAAATAGGAGCAGTGCTAACCACATCCTTAGAAAGTCGTGAGTTTAAATAATATCTCATACAAAAAGTATCAGGCATTATAGTAAATGTTCAATAAAAGTAGTTTCACTTTTGGGCCTTTTACCCTAATCTCAGTGGAGAAAAATCCTAGATAATTACTTGCATTTCCAAAGAAATTAAAAATATAAAACCATATCCAATTTAGAGCAATTTTTAGTTAGTCATAAGTTCTTCCTTTTCCAACTTCAGGCCTGGCTTTTGTTTGAGTCCTGGTTAACTCTTGACCTACAAATAAACTACCCTAATTTTCATAACTGGAATGTCTGCCACCCTCTGGAGAGTCCTGAGGGCTATTCTCACCAGGCCATTTGACATGTCTTCTTCAGGGGTGCTTAGTCAGGCCCTGGAGGTCGGGGGTATAGATTGCAGAGCACTCCTCTCAACCTTGCCTTTCTACTGTCTCCCTCTCCATTCTCCAGATGCAAAACCTGTGTGTGCCTTTTGAAATACAGCCACTCCATCCCCCAAATTGCCTCCCACAGGGAAGTGTGTCAGAGAATCTGGATATAATTGATAAAAGCAGCCCGCAAAGGCTCTTCCTACAAAGGCATTGTCTCCAGAGGGCATATTAGTCAGTTTAGACAGTTTCTAAAATTGTTAACATGAAGGGTATTTATTTATTTTTCCTTTCTATTGGAAACATGGAGGGGACCCTGCTGAGCACCCCAGGAAATCCACAGTGTGACATTCCAGTCTCCCCAGAGAACATGCCTCTCAGCCAGTGTCCTCCTGAGCCCTGATTTTCAGCGACCGTCTGGGGGGAGATTAAATTGAGGTTTATCTTTGAGTGACTGGGGTTATTTTTGTTTTCATCAGGCTGGACTATTGTCATTAATGCTAAGACACTGGCGGGAACAAGGCTTTTATTATAACGTGAGGGTGAGGATGGCTTTGACTGACCTTTCTTCTGCTGGAGTTTCAGTGTTTTAGTATGTGCTGCTTGTGCTGGAAAGAATTTATAATCACAGGCTGTCAAAGAGAGCCATTGTTCTCACTGCTCCGAACATGTGGGTCAGCCACAAGTGCTTTCAGCTCCCCCAGCGCCAAGAGCTGGCTGAGAGTGAGCCGTGCCTGGATTCTTCTGAGGCATCAGGAAAAGCATTTTGCATATTTTTCATTACTTCTTTTTTTTAGACTTTTTGCCTCAGAAAGACAGCTCCCTTTCAGAGCAGGAATTTCCCTTCAAGGTAGTAGGAGATGGAAGCACGCTGCTCCTGGGTTTTACGGAGCTGATTCAGCTGCGTGCATTTGTGAGCTCGCATCCACAGGAGCAATCACAGACTGTGAGGGATTCTGTCCCAGGACAGACATGCCGTTATGGATTCTGAAAGGCTGGTCAAGGTGAAGGTTTAGCTTTTCATTTTTGTTTTCATCTCTCACTGTATTCTTGAGAATCCAAACTTTACTATCTGTTATTTTTCATTCCCAAATTTTGCAGAGAATGAATTACTGGAGGAATTTTTTTTTAATGTGCGTGATTTCCTGATTGGGAAAGTTGCACAGGGAGGGTAGAAGCATGAAATGTTAACTTGTAGATGATAATTGAGCCAGTAACTGGTTACCATAACATTTCCATCCTGGGGGTAGGATGCAGAACTTTTTGGAGACTGCTGGAGTCGGGATTTCCTGAGAGTGGATGGAGTTTCTGCCTCTGCTGCTGTAATGTCTGAAATCCTTTCGATTTCTTTTTGCACAGGAGACTGATGATATTGACAGTCCTAAACGGAGTATTCGCGACAGTGGCTACATCGACTGCTGGGACTCAGAGCGCAGCGACTCCCTCTCTCCTCCACGACACGGCAGAGATGATTCCTTCGACAGCTTGGATTCCTTTGGCTCCCGTTCCCGGCAGACACCTTCTCCAGATGTAGTCCTCCGAGGGAGCAGCGATGGTAGGTTGAAGCCTTAACAAACTGCCTGTCTTAGAATTAAGCATTAACAAGGTTTTCCTTGTCACTGGCAGAGGGGTTGGCTCTAGGAAGACAGGCTCCCCATCCACCTTGCTGAAACCTGGTAGCTCTAAATGGTAGAAGAAAAATGTTTTTAATGTTGTTTTTTCATGGCCTTAAGCATTTTGATTGGCTTCGCCAGCAGTTTGTTTGAATGTTAGCCCCATGAATATCTCTCTACTGGAAAATGTGTTACATCATTCCTCCTTAGTCTCAGTAAATCAAGACACTGTGCAGACCATTAGCTCATAAAGTGTGTCAAAGGTTTATATTAGTTCATAAACTGCACTGAGTAGGAGGATGGGAAATGTTTGAGTATCACACTGTGGAAGTGAAAATGGATCAACTTCCAGCAAACCGGAAGCGCTCTATGTCCTATGTACTAATTAGCATGTTTGTGGCCATCTGTTTCGTGCTTAGGGCACCTGACATTCACGTGTGTCATGCAGGGGGCCATCAGTGGATACTGCATGTCCAGACTGTTTGGAGACTGGGTTCAGTATAAATCCTGTGGATTTTAGATCACCTGTAAGGAATGATTGTTTCTTTAAACAGTGTGTAGTCAGGCAGCCTAAGATAGATGTAATACATATATCCAGAAGCTGTTAACCTTACTTATATTGAACCTTTGTTCTTTTTAAGGGAAGATGGTTTGGCTCTGCACGTATAAACTTTCTAAAAGACACTATGGCTGGTGTGGAGCTTTTTGTTTATTTCCATTTTTGTTGAATGTATTATTCGATGGATAATATTTCTATAGTCTTCGGTCAGGTATCATAAGCATGGAACAGATGACCTGCTTGCTGAGATGAAAATGATCTTTTAAAAGAGCTCTTCCACCTATACAATTCTATGTATATTTGATGTCCAGAACTAATTAATACTCAATACTTAGTATCTCATCTAGACATTAGCACAGATCCTTGAGAAAACCTCACCTAGTCTTCCCACACAGATGAGGACACACCTTCTTGATCACATTTTACAGATAAACCTTAGGGAAGTTAAGTAATTATCCTAATATTGCAAGTGACAAAATTCACTGTCAGTAATTGGTGTAACAATGTTAACCTGAAAACGGTGAGTCTGTAACTTCTATCCTTATGCTTAACCTATCCACACTTCTTTGTCTTTGACTAATAGATATTTTAAAATTCTAGAATGACTTTTGTTTAGTACTTAAACTTACCAACAAATAAATTAGCCTGGAGGCCATGTAGTCTGTGACTCCTAAGGAATTCCACGGTGCATTGTGAGCTAATTGAGAAACACTTCTAAAATTTTATGACATCTTAAGTACCACCCACAGTATTAGAAGTTAAAATGCCAGTGCATTATCTACTTGAGATTTAACATAACCAAAAGATACATTTACTTTTATAAAAGGTATCTTCACCAGACTCTTTCATCCATATTGTTTTGATTGTTTTTTTAAAAAATTATTTCTTTCATCATGGCTTTTTTTTTTTTTTTTATATAGAGGCATGTTTTCTTTCTTTCTTTATTTATTTGTTTGTTTTTGTTTATACATGCACTGGGTACAGTCAGAAGCGCGGGAGGGTGAGAGAATTCACCAGAGCCAGAGCGGGGAGCAGAGCAGGCAGAAGGACCGAAGTACACTGCTGAGGGGAGCAGCGGGCGGCAGGAGAGGTCTGCGCGCCATGTGGGACCCTCCTCCGGTGGCCGGGGAGCAGCTGGGGATCGAACCGGCGCCGCAGAGGCCGCGGGCAGCTTCGCAACCCAGCGCTCAACCGCTGCGCCACCGGGGAGGCCCCATCATGGCTTTTTATAGCTGGAAATATCAGTCCTTTATTTTGTCACCAGTTTCCAGGGGTTCAGAGTTTATAATGAGCTACATCTTGAAGGGATTTAAGATGGTGATTACTAATATTGTACTAATATGTGCTGAGGCACAAATTTAGTTTGCAGTAATTAAGATTGATAAGCTGGAGTCTTTTATAAATGTTTTTCCATCTAAAGAATAACATGAAATTGAGCTTCACAAAACAGCATCTAGGAAAGAGCATCTTATGCACAGATCCCACCAATCAGCCCGATACCTTCAGGCTTATGTTTTTGTAAACTAATCAAGACCTAATGAGGTTTTTAAAGAAAAACAAATTTTTATCTACATAAGAAATGTAGCATAAATTCATCCAAATAGATGTTGGATTTCATTAGAAACTATGGTACAGTTTTTTAAATGATGCTAACCAAGAAGATTGCTCCTCCTCATAAACCCTTTCAAAGCTAGAACTTTTTAAAAGTCTTAAAATATACTTAAAGTATACTTCCTAATCCTATAATCAATAGGAAAAGTCTCACCATGAAATTCTCCAGCTCCATCTTGGGTCAATATGGAGAAGTTTATTAAAACTCACAGACCCATCTAGAGGGACAGTCAAGAGCCACACATATGCTTGGACATGAGAGCTGCCTGGGTGGGATGCTGTGGGTCCCCAGAGTTGTTAGAGTCAATCTGACTTGCTAGATAGATGCCCACTTCCTCCCTCATCTTCCCCAGCGTTCTTCTGAGACCACGTGGTGGGGTTCATAGAGGAGGAAATACAAAATCTTCTATTTAGGTATTTTAAAATTAAGAACATATTTATATGAATGATGCATTTTATTAACGGAATGCTCATCATTTGTATAGAAGATGAGTTAAGGGAGAAAAAAAGGAGTGAGAAAAATTAATGTACTAGAGGTGGTTTGGAGGTATGTATGGCAAAGACAGATTAAAAAAAAATAAGATCCCTAGTTGCTGGGAAAGAATTGTAGCCCCATGGAAAAGCAGAATCTCGTGCTCTGTTGTATTTTCCTAACTGGACATAAATAGAGAAGCCACCCTAGTGTATTTCCATAATTTCAGGAAGACATGAAGTCAAAATCCTTTGAAGTCCCTAAGTTAGATAAAAGAGTGCCAACTTCGCAGAGAGAATGCCAAACCCGCCACTTCCTGAGTGCTTTCTCATTTAATACTCATGCCAACCTACAAGAACTGTGTTATCATATCCATGTTTCTGATGAGATCCCTGAGATACAGAAGGTTTATGTTTTCTGGAGCTACATAGCTAGTAGATGATGGCATTAAAATTAGATCCTGGTCTCCAAATGCAGAATGCTGAACTCTCTCTACTGAGCCAGTCTGCCTTGGGATATTTGCAAACTTAAAATGTCTGTTGAAGATTCTCAGCAACTCAGAGTAATGGGAGGGGGAACAGGAGAGGGTAGTCTGTTGATGTTTTAAACAATATATTTTGAGACTTTTCCTCAGTCTGTTATGGATAATATATTTTTAGATACTGTACACACGTAAGGTTCATAGATAATAGGATTTTAGAATTGAAACAAGTCTAAGTCTAAGCCTTCATAGTTGATTAAAGGATCCTTTTTTTTTTCTTTCATTCATTCAACGAGTGAGTGCTTCCCCTTATCAGGATGCTTTAAGCAGAGGACAATTTTCCAAGAGAAATATGACATAGAGGAAGGAACTCTAGGCTGTGAGTTTGGAGAACAGAATTACTAGCTATTACTAGCCAGCGGTGCAGAAGGGGCTCTTTCTGTCTCTCTGAGCTGTTTCTACCTTTATAAAATGGTGGAAATATCAAATCAAAAAGCAAAGTTTGGGCAAGGTAAAGTAGAATTCATGTTTATAAAGCAGTTCACACGGAGTGCTAACTGTTTCACGTGGCACCGACAGATATCCTTGCTAAGAGAGAGGATGGGGAAGGAGCTAAGTTATGAAGCAAAGAACTGACAAGTAATGAAATGGTCAAAATTTCAGAAGAAAGACTAAAAGCCAGTGACATGAATAATTCATTAGCTGAATATTTCATCTGCAACAATGGTCAGCTTGTGTATGATCAATGCTTTTAACTTTTACAGTCTTTCAAAAGTCATTTAAATCAGTTAATTTCCAGGAAAAATCACTTCAGTCCTGTTTTTACAGAAAAGGACAGATGAGCATGTTTGAGACAAGCCTCAGAGCCCACAGCTCTCTATGGTAGACCCAGAGCTACCCCATGCCATCCAGTGTAGTCAGCGTGAATTAGGCACTCACTCTGCACCAAGTAAGATAACAATACTTTGATATACATCTGATCTTCCTGACAACCTTATGAACTAGGTGGTATTATTATCATCCCTATTTTACACACTGAGTAAGTCAGACTTAATGGGGAGGTAACAACTGCAAAGTCTCAGAGGTAGTAAGTGGCTATAGTGCCAGCAAGGCACAGAGCAGGATCTCCATGATCCGGGCAGATGGGTAAAGGAGAGTGCTGGAGCCCTCGGTGGCTTTTCAGGCTTTCATTGAGCTTTTCGCACCATTTGTAGTGCAGCATCCAGGTACATGGCAGGCAGGGGAACCGGGGTAGGGGCCAGGAGACTGACAGGCCTCCCAGCCCCCAGCGAATCTTCACTCTTTCTGGGTGCTCTACCATTCTCTCCCAGGCTCTTCTCTGATGCTGCTTCTGCTGCCGTTGCAGTTTCTTCTACTACTGCTGTTTTCTCTTCTTGTTCTGCTGGTGTCCCCATGACATCACCCTTATAAGGCCAGTCTCCCGGCCCAGGTGCACCCACTAATGCATGCCCACATCCTACTCCAGGTGCCCGCCATCAGGCATGCATGTAGGACCACAGGAATCTATCATTAATGCTAATGGCGGGAGGGTGGGAAATCCTGATAACTTTTCACTTACCCTACAGTGGCAGAGATCAAGATGAAGTGGATCTGACTTAACCCTGCACACTACTCACTCTGCTAGGCTGCCTCGTCTCTTGACTCTTAATTTAAAGCTCTTCTCACAAGTGTAAAGAGGCAAAATTTCTACCCTCACTGGGGTTGGATAACTTAAAAACACTTTCCTTGATTAAGAAATTTTAACCAGGGCTTCCCCTGGTGGCGCGGCGGTTGAGCACTGGGTTGTGAGGCTGTCCGCAGCCTCTGCAGCGCCAGTTTGATCCCCGGCCACTGGCGAGGGTCCCACAAAAAAAAAAAAGAAATTTTAACCAGCATTAAAATGGTGACTACCTAAGATAGTGTTTATTTTAATGACAGCTTCCTCCTAAAGGATCTTAGAAATTTAGTGAGATGAGACTTGGAACACCAGGGTACAATATAATTAGTGGGGTGATTGCCCAACTGTAGGGCAAGGTAAAAGTATCAGGCTTTTCTGCCCTCCCACAATTAGGATAGATGACGGAACCCTGAGGTCCCAAATGCTTGCCTGATGGCGGGCACCTGGAGTAGGGTGTGGGCATAGGTAGATGGGATTCACCTGGGCTAAGACTGGGCTTTTAAGGGCGGCAGCGTGGGGACGCCAGCAGAAGCGGAGAAGCAGAGAAGAAGCAGCAGAAGCAGAACCAAGCAGAGAAGCAGCGAGAATGTGAGAGAAGGCTGAAGCGCCCAGCCCAGAAAGAGTGAAGACTTGTTGGGGGCTGGGAGGTTGGCAGACCAGCCCCCTGGCACCCCCTGCCTGCTGTGTACCTGGTAAATATCCCAATAAAAGCCTGCAAAAGCCACGGAGGGCTCCAGGACTCTTCTCCTCCCTTACCCCGTCTGCTGGGATCATAGAAAACCTGCCCCGTGCCCATTCCTGCCCTTACACCAACACAAGACTGATGTGGGTAGCATTGAATTCCTCTGCATTGTCTGTAACATGTGAATGTTATAAATTCCTTGTTCTCAGTATATAAGGTATGAAGGTTAATGCTCCAGAAGAAAAGAATGGATCTTTGGGCCATAGGTTACAGGAAGAAAAAAATTGTCTCCAGCTATGGGTACCAGGAAGGCTCCCATGTAGAGGAATATGCATTTATTATAACTCAAACCACTTCCTGGAAGGCAAGCCCTGTGTTATAATCCAAACCAGCCACTTTTTTGAATTCCTATTGTTCTTATACTTTCTGTGCATCTTGATTATAACTAATATTCTCCAGGTGTTTTGTGGGTTAGTTGAAGGTACCACAAAGACAAAAGTCTTCATAATTCTTGATTTTCAGAATATCTAACAGTATTAGACATGCAATAACAGGTGCTCAGTAAAAATTCCGTTGCTTACTTTGTGTTTTTTTTTTCTTTAGAGAGTTCCAGAATCACGGCAGAGTAGACATACACTTCTGTTGCAAATGTGTTACTAATTGTAATTCTCAGATACAGTTAGATTTGCCTCTATTTTTCTAATTTGATTTTTTTTTCTTGATTGGAGTAGAGAGTTTTTCCCAGAGCAAAC